TTAAAACCAATAGAGAAGAAGCAAACAAAAATCCAGAATCAATAAATCCAAACAAAAATAAACCGAAAAATATCTACATGGAGTCTGGGAGGGGTGGGGAAGGGGGAAGAGAAAAGGATAGGAAGAGATAAGGATAAAAAGGAATACAGAAGACCCTCCTGTAGAGCCACAGGGTTCATAGTAGACCCCTGAGCTAATCTGAGCCTGGACTTCACTGAGTTTATCCCTAAAGGCCCAACAACACTTCTCTAACAAAACTTAACAGCACTTAATCTTAACACTTAACAGTACTTAATAGATAACTAAAATGAAACAATTTAGCAATAGATTCATATAGAATTTACTATATCATAACTGACTTACAGGCCTGACTTACTACAATTTAAATTACTTAAGAATCTAGAAGAATATCCCTAGTACATTTGTTATGTCATATTCACACTCCCATGTGTTATGACCTACTGCAGGTGAGGCCAATGGAAATGAGCCATTTCCATTTTGGTTGTTATTATCTGTAGTAATATAACAACATGAAAGTATTGCAATATGAAAGCACAACCACCTCACCCAAGGACATGTACAGGGGAAAAGAAAGGAGAAACAGAGGACAAGAGTGTGAAGATCTCACCATCCATAGGCCCTGTGATGAGACTTGGTTGTTCCATGAAGTGGTGGGGAAAAGCCCCCGGATAATCTGCAAAACACAACATCTATTGAGTTTATACTCACTGAAGTTCAGGTGGGAATGCCCAGGTACCTCCCCCGGGTTGGGGAGCTTCATACTGGATGGGTAATGTTGTGGATCATGGGACACTTTGGGAGTCCTTGACATGACCTAAGACAGCACTGCTGCCCTTCACACGGCAGCTGAGTCAATTATCAGCAGTGAACACCCTCAGGCCACATGTGAATGTCTCAATACTTTCCTGGGGGAGAAGGGCCATTGAGTGCACACTACAACCCAGTGGTTTGTGCACGGGAGAGCACCCTAGCATGACAGGAAGCACCAACCCATCTCCATAGGACCTGTCTCCTGTCTCACTCATAGCACACCATTCACCCTTGGTCTTATCAGATCAGGGGTTAACCATTGCACATCCAAAACCCCACCTCCTCCACCTCCCAATCAGGCTTCAACAAAGCACCAGGGCATCTCTTCACAAATGGGCAATATTTTGAGTCATTATCCCTTGAAATTTTGTTCTCTCACAGCATACACACAAACATGAAGAGTCTGTAGCAGGTATATGCATGTGGAAAATTCCCCTCAAGTTCAGGAAAGTACTTTGGATGTCTTTGGATCTTCTCAATGGTTGAGCCTTGAGAAATTGATGTATCAGCCCAGGATCTGTCATTGTTTGGCAATCCTCTGAGTACAGCAAACTTGGGAGTTCACTGGCCCCGAGAGGGAGATGCTGGCCACAGCCCACTGCGGTCCAGGGGAACTCCAAGGGTCTCACTTTGGACTGGTGTTTATAGGGTTGCAAGAGAGTTGGCTTCAGTCAGTAATTTTCCATCCTGGCCACAATTTTTTGGAAGTTTGATAACAAAAATGTTATTCCACTTAGGTTGTTGTTCAGGCAACAAAAATAATTTTCCAAGGCTGTTCACTAAAACACAGGAACTTGTTAGACAGCACAAGTCCCTGGGAGAAGAGAGTGTTTCTGATAAGCTCAAGAGGAGCTCAGCCAGTTGCTGTTTGTCAAGGCTGATGCCTAATGAGCATTTTTAAGATCACAGTGTGGCCAGGGTGGGGGGAAAGCACCCTCAGTCAGTGAAAGAATTGCAATGTGCTGAGCTTGGATCTTTGAATTTGCTGTTACAGCCTCTAGGATTGTCTTCTATAACCCTGTCCCTTAGCCCAGAGGCAATTGCAAACACCTCATTCATGGATCACACGGTGAGAAGCTTCCATCAGTTCATGTCGACATGGTGTGTGTCTGGAGAGCACAGCTCCAGGCCTTCAGATCACCCACAGTCTGCCTGCAGGGGGTGGCAGGGAAGGAAGGACTCAGGGATGCCATACATGGGCAGAACCAGGCTGCCCTTTCTCTGCAAACATCATTAAATTCCCTTCAAATCATAGATTGTGCTTTTCGACAAATGAGTATCCCAGACCTTCTGTGAACTTCTATAAACAGTGAGAAGCCTTGTCTAGATTTATATAACCTACAAAACCGAATGTAGTTTATATGATTTTAGCCTCAAAGCACTTCTCACAAGTTATCCCAGGCAATCAGAAGAGGAATCAAAACTAGCAGATTCGTGTCCTGGATAAACCCTTCAGCAGTTACTGAGGTCCCAGCAGGGTGCCAGGGACAGCCCATGCACAGGGATCATGGAACACAAGGGTTTCGAACTTGCAGCCAGCCCAAGCACGCTGGGAGCAGCTCATGGCCTGGCCAGCATGTGAACTTTGACACTGACAAGGACAAGCTAAAGTGACTTTTGAAATCACTGTTTAATTATGCTTATAAATTAGGCTCTTCACACACACCGAAAAGATCATTCCAAATGAAGACAATTGCTGGCTTTCAAATCCTTTCCAACACACAGTAATTTGCAGGAATTGTCTCTCTTCTTTAAAAATCACATTATTTAAAACTAATTAACATCTGAAAACTCTGACAAGTGATTTCCCACACCAAATAAGGGCTGAACTGGCAATCTTCAGCACTTTTTTCCAGTAAGAATCAGCAAAACTAGGCATTTTATAATTATGGATCCTGGCTGTTGCTATTGCTGATAAATGCATTTAGATAATTAGTCATTCTTATTGAAGAGAAGACAAAAATAGTATTAGAAACTTTTAATTTATTAAGAGTCCTCAAATAGCCAAGAGAGCTTCTTACACATACAAATGTACTGAAAATTGATAGATATGGACTCAACAAAAACAATAATATCTCAGAAAAAAATCAAGCATTATTACACAAATTCAGAGTAAGGTTCTGTCACATTTACAAACAAACTTGTAACTTGTAAGTTCAGCATCACTCAGGAATTTTTCAAGTCCAAGTTGAATCTTTTCAGCTAGTTAGTGCACTGAGCTTATACAGTACATTGTTTCCCAGCATCACCAATGGGTAATACTGGATGTAACCAAGCAGTAAAAGCAGTGGTTTAGTCTTCAAAAGTCCATTCGTTCCACTGAAGGTGCACTGTTAAAACAACAGATGTATTTAATAAAATAATAATAGTATAATTGTCATATTACAGCTTCTTCCATTTCACTGTGACAATTGTGTGGCTAAAAAATTACTTTTACTACTAGAAAACCTGTACGAATGAGTGAGGAAAAACAATCACTAGAGATTTGTTAAGAATGAAAAATTCTAATGTTTAATTTAAATGAACTGTTCTGCTGTAGAAGACACTTCCTTAGCATTTTTAAGATGGTTATTTTGTAAAAATATACTTCCTTACTCTATAGATAAGGTAGGTAATGGCTAAGAGTAAGAGGGCATGTTTAGATTAAATATTAGGAATAAATTCTTTATAATTTCTTAGAGTGGAGAGGTAGTGGCACAGGTTGCCAAGAGAAGCTGTCTGTGGATGCCTTATCATCTCTGGCAGCAGTCAAAGCCAGGCTGGATGGGGCTTTGAGCAACCAGGATATGACGAAATGGCCTCAAGCTGCACTAGGGGAGGATTCAGGTTGGACATGTGGAAGAATTTTTTCACTGAAAGAATTGTGAAGCACTGGAACAGGCTGCCTAGAGGGAGGTGGTGGAGTCACCATCCCTGGGGGGGAGTTCAAAGAACCACTGGATCTGACAGTGCTGTGGTCTAGTTGACATTGTGGTGTTTGGCCAAAGGCTGGAGCTGATGGTCTTGGAGGTCTTTCCAACTTAAATAATTCTGTGATGTAGGGGAAGGTGTCTCTGCCAAAAGCAGAGAGGTTGGAACTATGTGATCTTTAAGGTCTCTTCCAACCCTAGCCATTCTAGGATTTTATGATCATTAACAACCCACCCCACCATACAGCATTCAGAATTAGTTGTTAGTGTTGGAATTTTTTACACATTTTATGGCAAACATTTTTCTGAATTGTTAAATTAGTGTAGGGGGAATTAATGATTCTCTTTGGCAGACCTCCCCACACACCAAATAAGAACAGCAATGTAAAACATCAAATAGAGAGTTTGCCTGAAGGAAAAGGCCAATCTTCCTGTGCAAGAAAATGCTTTCTTAGTTTTAATCCTCACTCCCAGAGGTTCACTAGAGGAGCACCTTCCTCATTTTTACTGTGTTCTTTGTATTAACTGTGCTATCACTTTGCTTTTATTTATTATTATTACAGTTCAGCCTGCAGTTTGAATTTCATAGACAGAAAAATAGTATCCTATATTGAAGTCCTGTATTCTGGGGCCAGAGGTTGGTAGGACATACATAAAAATTCAAGATTACTTTCTGACACAAGCTTACACTTGGCATTTTCTCCTCAATTTACATAGGATACTACTATGCATTTTGCAGAATTAGGGAACCGTGTGGAAAACTGAACTAACTCTCAATCTGCATTTAGGTATATTTATGCTTATCAGTGTCACCTGTGCCACCTTATTTGTATTGTAGAACATAGGGCATTTAATTTCACTGCATCTGTCTAAAATAGCTGTAGAGTTGCTGGCTAGAACATTCAGGGATTAATTAGCTTTGACAGTCTCACTTGTGAATAGATGTATAGTTGTCAATACTGTATGATCAGGAAACCAAGGACTTGGACTTCCAATTAAAAACCAGACCAGCCAACCCACTCCTACAGAAATCTCTTGTGTACAGTGTGATACTGGGATGAAGCAAGCCCCAGCACAGCATTTGTACAGTGACAGTTCATTCCCTTAGAAAATCCAGTTTCCAAATTCCATAGCTCTGTTTTATGGATACAAAAGATAATAAACATGTAGTCCTAAAGCATTTTACATATTTTTGCAAACTGAGCCACAAAAACATTGTGATACTTGGCTAAAGCTCTGCTGTACGTAAACTCCAGAAACTGGAAGAGACCAATTTAAGTAGTTATTAATCATTCTTCTGAAAACTTCTACAGTACTGTGGCATCAAAAGATCCAGATCTAAGTGTTATGTAACAGCACCACATAAAACAGATTTTCAATTTTCATGTAATTTGAAACGTTTGTAGTTACTCAGTGAATTGCAACAAAGGCAGCCCAACATGTTTCATTAGACTATTCCATATTTTTGTAAGCTTATATTATTTTGTAAGCTTATTTAATTTCTTTGCTGTACAAAGGCAGAAATGCAAACCATCTCAATAAATGTACATCAGTAACTACCTAGAAATGATACAAGTATGTACACAAAGCCCAATTATTTCACTTCAGTGTTGATACCATAGTTCATGTAGAGCTGGATGCAAACAGCACCTACACAGTGTAAGGCGTAACTCTCAGGATATTTACATCTTGTTCTTTATAGCAAAGGCTTCCAATACACAGTAACAGCTCTTTGTCACACTTGTATTTGACAATCCTGCTTAGTAGTGCAGCCTCAGAACTGAAAAGTGCATTTATTAATTTTATACATTCTCACACAGATTGTGGACCATTCCAGAAATAGTTCTCCAACCTTCCTTTTTGGAAGTAATTGATTATCTATGTTTTCTGTCAATTAAAACTATAAGGTAAAAATACCGTTTTCCCAAAGTTCTGTAGGTCACGTGCAACTAAGAAAACAAAGCTCCTAAACGCAACTCCAGAAACTGTTGTCTTTTGACTTGGGAAGATAAGCAATCCTGTGAAAGCACTCAACCACTCCACTGCTGGCTTTTTAAAACACTTTGGAACATTTCAGGTTCCGAAGTTTGCAGATCCAAGCAGCTTTGGAAAAGCACTATTACACAGATATTTACATTCTGTATTAGATTTTTGGGTTGCAATTAATCTGGCATCTCAAATGGTTTTTTTTCTTCCATCGGAGATCTCACTTTAAAAGGAAAATTTAAAAGGAATATGATTACTCTAATTGCAGAAAATACAATTCTGAGTTATTTCACAGGCAAAATGAAGTACAAAAATGCTTAGGATGAAAACGTCAACTCTTCCCTTCACCTATAAAGTAGCACTTCTAAAAATAATTTCTCTCTTTGTGTTCTGAGCTACAGCAATTCCTGCCACATTTATTTTTAAGCCACAACATCCTGCAACAGTAGGGTTCTTCAGAGTCTTTATTCCATCCAATCTTGTTTTAGATTAAAATACTACACCCTGTCTTCTGCCTGCCTTCCCTTAGGGCAAGAATGAGCAGCACAGTTCTCATTTAAAACAGCATCATAACTCTCATGGCAACAATCTCAGTTGATCAGGACTCTGTAGTGCAGCAGCTGAGAGCTGACACATGCTGCTCCATCCACGGAGCACAGCTCTGACAGGAAACCAGCAAAGAGTGAAGGAAGGGAAAGGCCAGGGATCGAGAATGCCTTGCTCTATGTGCATGTGCCTGACTCCCTGACCTCCTGCTGCTGTGAGGTAACACAACAGCACAATCTTCTCTTCCAGGCGTTTCCTATACTCCTACACATCTTAGCCCACAAACTATGCTCAGAAAATTATACTTGGTCTACAGTACAGCTTATCACTTTATCAGAATAATATGACAATCTTAAAAAAAAAACAAAACAAAAAAACTACACGTGGATAAAAATGTAAAAGGAAGAAGTTACCCTCATCAGGATAAAATGACATCTCAGTTTCACTAGTGACAGTATCCATATCTTCACAAGTTTTGGCATCTGGCTTCTCTTTTTCCACCTCACATAGATACACGTCAATGGGTCCTTTTGTGCTCTTCACATGTACTTCTATGTGATCCTATAAATAAGCAACTTGCATATAAGCCAAAGAACAAATCTTACACATTCTTTCTCTATTTTTGCACATATTTAAAAGACAATAGATTAAGAACATAAATACAGAAATGATGTAGCTATTTAAAATTGTGTTACTACTTCCACATAAATTATGACTATTACACACATTTGTAGGACAATTATTATGCAGAATTAAGCTAACAAGTTTTCATTTTTGATGAATGTGCACTGAAGTATTTGTTTAGTCTATTGACCTTCAGATATATGACCAAGACTTACTATATATTTAGGAAGGGTAATGAAATTTAAAAACTTGACAAAACAGTGCGATGAATCAGACAGCAAACTAGAGCACGTAGCTTTAATGACATGGTAAAGCAACTAATCCCTATCACTTCTGCTGCTTTCCTTCAGCACTCATCGCATTGCAAGACACAGAGCAAATAAATCTTAATGCACAATGGAGAAAATATTAGATTCTAATGCATAACCTTTTAAATTCTGCCTTTTTACTGCTTCAGGAGGCATTTGGAATTTTATCTTTTTCATCTCCACTGGATGACAGACAGCTCCTCTGACCAGGGATATTACAGGCGATCTATGCAGTGGATCTAATTATTTTGGTTCTACTGATTCACCTCCTTTTCCTAAGATACCCCCACCTTTATGGCCACACAGTAAGGCAACCTCAATGACCATGCAATGTGGAAGATTATCAAAAAAGTTCATGCAAAAAAACCTGAATTGAAGTTCTGTTTGCTACCTTAGGCTGCCTTTCAGGATTTGCCCTCTCAGAGCACTGCCAACAGTGGGTTCCCAGTACACAGGCCCCACTATGCAGTTGCAGCACTGCTGGGTGCAGGGGGCAGGGTCTGGCTCCTCTGTGAGAAGAGAACAGAGCCTGTGTATTGCACTGTGGGGTGAGGACAGGGCACAGCCCCACTCCATGAGAAATCCCACTAGATATGATCTACCAGAGTGACAAAACGTTTTTTCCAACCATACTGTACATTGCATACTTTATTACAGCTGTTCCATTCTCTCTAGCAAAACCAGGTAGCTAAAGCTCAGATACGTTTATGGCTTAATAATTTAGGCAAAAAGAAAAATACAGCAAGTAAGTTTCTAAGAACTATTGAACCTGCAGCACTTTTTGGTGTAACATAAGAACAACAATGAACTACCACTATCTGCATGACAAAAACTGGAAATAAATTACTGACTGCTGCTGCAAAAAATCAAAATTGAGAACTTTTGTTCCTTTAGGAGAAACATATAAGACTTACGTCCTTAGGAACTGGTATTTCCAATTTAGTTTCCTCTGGAGCTTTGATTGCGATCACAATCTGTTCCTGAAATGCCTGAATGCTTCGGATATCTTGGTATGTCACATAAGCTAGTGTATACATTGGTCAAGGATTCTATAAAGTAATTTACTAATGGGCAGAAGCAAAGAGTGTGATGTGAAGATATGTTTAGGCAGAATACTAACTTCAGAAAATTGATCAACAATTCAGCAGAGGTTAATACTAGCTTTGTAAAATGAAGTATCAGCTAATGGTAGAAAAATACTTTTCTGTATTTCCAGGAAAGAAAAAAAGCATTTAAAAATATACTCAATGTTATACAAAAACCCAAACAGTTTTCACAGATGTTGTCATAAGTCTACAAAGCAGAGAGAATACTGTTCTTCAGAACCATACATAGGTTCATTACATACAAAATACATTCTATTTTCTAACAGCATGAAAATAATTTCATGAGACACTATAAAACAATTTTCTCAACCAGTAAGGTGTAAACAAGATGAGCACATTTCATTTGCGCACACACCTTAACACCCTGCCAAACAAGGGAGCTAAATATAAATTCAATCTTTATGCCATATATTAAAACAAATCTATTTTCTATTGTTAAAACCCATCTGAAAGTCCAAGCTGCACTAGGATATCTTCAAGAGAGAAGAGTATTAGGACACAACCGACATACCATTTCATCTCCTTGGCGACAGGCCACTGGGACTCCATTCTGAGTCCTTTCTGTCATCTCACTACGCAGCTTGAGCTCACTGGTAGGTCAAGACCTGCCCCTGACAACTCAAATGGAGAGAACAGCGTGATGGTCAGGGTACTAAGACTATTGCTCCACTTCTTTCTTCTGCAGTGGAAAGGTCACACAAGCAGCACTCCTCTGAGGACAAGCTAGACTGTCCATGATACTGCAAAGCAAGGCACACAACTGGCATTCTCAAATACAAAATAATCAAAAGCTTGCTATTATAAAAGTCATCATCAAGCAGTGCTACATACCCGTGGTATCAGCCTACACTTCCAAATAGATACGTATGTGCAACCAAAACCATGTTTTTGTTAAAATAATGCAAGAGTTAAAAGGATATTTTGCATTTTCTTTGTCATCTGTTAGTTCAAATATCTGATGAGCACAATTCTTGATTAATTCATCCAGAGCTTCTTCCATGGCTGTTAAGTCAGAAAGTTCATCTTTAAGGTTTTGCTGCTCTGGTGCTTTTCCAACAACTTGGTCAAGATTGTTACCTCTAAAAGAATATGAAAGTTGTCTATTATGTTTATATAAATAAACGTCTGTTAATTAAACATCAAGTATACTAACAGAAAACAGTAAGGAACTCTGGCATCCTTTATTCTGCTGAAATATGCTTCCATGTACTAATGCACTTGATACTTGTTAACGTATTAGGTAATTCACACAGCATAAGAATACAGAACTTAAAACATTATATATGAGAAGTAATGTAATATGCTTAAAGATACTCTTAAAGTTATAAACATTAGTCAACATTGTTGGGAGTTACTGTTTCAGAAACTAGAAGTTTCAAAGCCAACTCACATCCACTGGATAAGATTCTTAGACCTTTTCTGAATCAAGTCGATTCCATCCAACACATTGGTGATGTCATATACTCTTCGTTTTCGTACTCCAAGTGTTGTTGCAACTTCATTTAAATCAAGGACACCGTCTGGAGCTTTTTTGAGAAGAGCCATAAATCTTCGTGTCAAAAGCACCAAGGATGCATCAAATCGAGGCCTTTTGCCTTCTGCTGTTTCTGTAAAGTTTCAGTAGAATGTTTAGGGTAAGCTACTACATAAGCATGAAGTATTCCTTAAAAAAAGTGATAGTGATGAAGTAACAATGAAGATAAAAGTATGGAAGCACTGCAGTTTTTAATACTGACATTGCAATGGCACCATATAAAGCCTATTAAGCACACATACCTTCATTTGTTTGCAATGAGTTTAAATAAATAGCAAGCATGCATTTTTGTGTTTTCAGCATTCATGACTCCACACTGCTAGCATGGATATTAGTAACTGAGTAACTGTATGTTCTACAGGACATGAGATTGGATCACTGAACAAATACCAATGAAACCTTTGGTTAACTATAGACAGCGCTGAGGTGTTGCCAGAGAAACGCAGCTCTATCTCTGCTCCATGACACTGTTAAGAGTATTTTTTCACTCCTTTTTGGTCCAGTTTAACCAGTAGACCTCCAATGTAACCATCAGGCAAGGTTCAGGAGTCAGCTAGGCTTCAGGACTGTTTCAGCCTGGCCATGAACAATCTGCTCTGGAACTGAAGAACTTGATATGCAGACAAACTCTGTTTGCACTATTTGGTCTCGGGGCAAAAGAAGTGGTCATTCCAATATTTGATTTGCTAATGCAACAAAGATCTACAGCTATCCTGACACCCTGGCTTAAGAGATTCCTGTGCTATGTGTATCCATTACCAACATACTTGCAGGAACGGTAGAAGTCACTGATGAGTAACTTGAGATTGTTATTTATGCATGCAAAACACAAAAAAAAGCACCTACTTTTGAGGCACAAAGAAGTCATAGTATGCACACACTCATTTGATGCCAGTCAATAAAAGATTGTCAATTCTGCTGTTACTTGTCTTTTCTCCCATAAAGCAAACCAGGTATTTCATCTGATCAACGTGTGTCCCTGGGCAATATTCCAGTCTAACGCTTCAAGAAAAGGTGTGTGTGTAAAAAAGTATCCTAGATAACATTCTACTTCAACCATCAGTATTTTTCCCAAGATGAATGAGATATGCACTTTTACTCATAACATATCACACCCATTCCATAGCTGCAAGCTCATGCACTCCTTAACATGAAGTGACAGTTTTGGACTATGTTACTGTGAAATGTGTGGAACAATTTAACTGGTGAGAAAATAAGCAAAAAAACCCCAACATCCAAAAATTCACCCAAGTTTACTTCCACATTTGCTAATACCAGCTGAAACCCAGCATTTGACAGTATGTTGTTCCAGTTTTCTGTAATTCACTTTTCCTGTGCATTATTTTCTATATAGCAGTGGGAAGGTACACTTGCAACAGATCTGAAGAGGAAAAGCCATAAAGACTGTATTGCTTCACATCTGTTATTTTAGTCAATGTTCAGCATTTTTCCTGATCTGCTGATATTAAACACAATTTTTCATTTGTCTACAGCATGTACTCACATTGTAGAAAGGCATGAAATACTGCAAGATTTTCCACACATGACACATAGCAACTTACTTTTCACAAGCTGTGTGTTCTCTTGCACATTCAGGTTGACCATTGGTGCCTGAGGAAATAAAAAGGAAAAAAAAGAAACTGTCAGAAAATGCTATCTACAGGGGGAGCTTCTTCAGAAGAAATCCTCAAATCTACTTTAGATGTCACAGCCATCACAGTTCTGACAATTCAACAGCTATTACTGTGAAGTGTCACTAGATAGCAAGAATATATGCTCTTTAATTCCTGCCAGAATTTTCAGCCCTTAATCTCAGCACAACTCACTCTGTTTTCAAAAATAGGAAACACCATTGAACTCACTGATGCTCAGGCAAGCTGCAACCTCTCTCGATTTTGTTTTAATTCACGGCCCATCATGTAAAACTGTGAAATATCTGGCCACCTTTTAAAGTTCTTAACTTGCTGGCAAGTATGGAATGAAACTTGTCAGGGGAAGTTTGGGTTAGATATTCGGAAACTGGTTCTTCTCCCAGAGGATGGCTGGGCACTGGAACAGGCTCTCCAAGAAGTGGTCACAGCAGCAAGCCTGCCAGAGTTCAAGAAGCTCTTGGACGATGCTCTCAGGAACATGGTGTGACTCTTGGGATTGTCCTGTGCTGAGACAAGAGTCAAAACTTGATGATCCTTATGGGTCCTTTCCAACTCAGGATCTGCTATGATTTTACTGAAGGGCTGCTATGGCTTGACAAGCTCTCTCAGGAGTTTATTAACAGCCTTCCTGTACTAGTGGGCCTAAATCAGGAACAGCATTCCAAGGGCAACCTAATACATGCCAAGTAAGAGAAAAGAACCATTTCCCTCAATTTACTGTTCTCCTGCTAAGTAAGACAGCCTCACATGCCTCAATGTCAGGGCATGGTACAGGTGCACATTTAGCCCACTGTCCATGAGGACCCCAAGTCCTTTCAACAGGGTGGTCCCCCAGCCTGTACCACTGCAGGGTAAAGCAAAGGCTGTAAGACTTGATTTTCAACTTCCTGGGTTTATGAGGTGTTAGATGACCCCTTCCTCCAGCCCATAAACCTCACATCCTCCACCTATCAACAGGACAGGCCCGAGGAGAGACCCTGCCACACACCCACCAAAGCTGCTCTATCATTCCTCTTCATAAGTGGTCAGGGAAGAACAAGAAGTTCATGAGTTGAGCTAAGGAGCAAAAGAGATCACTCCCTGAATATCATCATGGACAAAACAGAGTCAGCTTGGGAATATTAATAAAATTTATTACCAATAAAATCAGAGCAGAATAATGAGAAATAAAACACGTCTTAAAAAACACCTTCCCCCACACCTCCCACCTTCTCAAGCTCTACCTCTCCACACCAGCAGCACAGGGGAGACAGGAATGGGAGTTATGTCAGTTCATCAAATGTTGTTCCTACTGCTACTGAGGGAGGAGAGTCCTTCTTCTACTTCAGTGTGGGGCTCCCTCCCACAGAAGACAGTCCCCAATGAAGTCCTACAATATAAATCCATCCCACAGCAACAGTTCACCAACTGCTTCAACGTGCATCGCTATTCCTCAGGGTGCAGTCCGTCAGGCACAGCCTGCTCCAGGCGTGGATCAAGGGTCACAAGTCCTACCAGAAAATCTGCTCCAGGATGTGCTCTACTCTCCATGGGTCCCTGCTAGGAGCCTGCTCCAGCATGGGCTTCAAACAAGTCCACAGCCTCCTTTCAGGCATCCAACTGCTCCAGCCTGGGTATCCTCCATAGGCTGCAGGTGGGTCTCTGCATCCCCATGGTCCTCCATGGGCTGCAGGGGTGCAGCTGCTTCACCATGCACTGCACCACAGGCTGCAGGGAGTCTCTGCTGCAGCACCTGGAGCACCTCCTCCTCCTCTTTCTCCACTCACCTTGGTGTCTGTAGAGTTGTTCCTCTCACAAATTCTCAGTCCACTCTTCTCTGGCTGCAATTACAACTGTATAATAACGTTTTTTCCCTTCTTAAATATGTTATCACAGAGGCACTACTAGTATCTCTAATAAACTCTGCCTTGGCCAGTCACAGATCCATTCTGGAGCTACCTGGCATTAGCTCTGCAGGACATGGGGGAAAAATTCTGGCAGCTTCTCACAGAAGCCACCCTGCAGACCCCCACCTACTATCAAAACCTGACCACAAAAACCCAATACAAGGTATACAAGCCCAAGACTTCCTTTGTCTGGGGTCCTTGCTCCAGCTGTTATACCAAGATTAAGTTATTTTAATAATCCAAATGTCTGAGAGTCTGCTATTGGGAACTTGGGTTCAATCTGGTGAGGACCTTGTCTGTGTGATTGTGGGGGTGCAGCTGCAAAGGGGCCTCGGTCCCACCTCAGGTGGTGCCAGAGTGACTGACAAGAGTGGCTCTTGAATGGTCAGACAGGGAAATTTCTGTAATACTGTGACCTTTGACACTCCTTGCTAGTTTCAACACTACAACTTTGGCTTTCCAAGCATCATATCTGCATGTCCAAGCACTTTTTATCCTTGTTCTTCTGTCTGCCCTGCATATGTTCTTTTTGCCATGAGTGTCATGATGAAATGCGTTTTTCCTTACTGATCGCCTTATCTTCAGCTCCTCCAGCTTCCAAAGCTGCCTTCCCTAAAATCTCAACTACCTCTTGGCAGAATAAGCTGGAGTCTTGAAGACTGAGTAAGCTGGTATCTGGGTTCTGCACTTTGCTACTACACTTCCTTACCAGTAGGCTCAGGGTCTTGAATATCCCACTGTTAAGAAAACTTCCCAGTCTGCCCATTCATGAGACTCTCTGGCAGCCACACTTCTAGTGAGAGGCTGCCACTGCTGGGACTGAAGCCCCTTCATGGGGGACAGCCTCAGTGAGCTATTGGGAGGCTCACTTGACTCCCTACATACCACACTCATACATTCAAGCCATGTTTCCTTACTGGTTCAACCCCAGGTTTCCCACTGCAGAGTCTCAGACATCTCTCCATAAAGCAATTTATTCAATAAATTCAGTATTCTGTGCTGTGCAGCAACAACAGAAACAGTCCAAGCTGGTACCTCCAAAGAGGGATGAACAACAAAGGAACCTCTAAGTTTTTATACTCATAGTCTACCCAGGTAAATCTGGCTCTTCCCCCTGAAGAATTCTTCCTGCTGTATCTCTTCATCCACCTCGGCAGTGCCCCCATCTTTGTGCCCTTTTGTTATCCAAAGGGTTGGCAGTTCATAGCTTCTGCTGTGTGCCTCAGTTTCCACTCACCTGGTCAGTGCCGCTGTCTTCCTGCCCTTTGTTATCCCAAGGGTTGGGCAGTTATGGCCTCTTGTCTAAGGATCCCAACCATCTGGTGTCTGCAAACCGAGCTACCTGCACTAGATGTAATTCACACCCACTATTCCATGGCCATCACAGGCAAGGCTGCTAATGACTACCATATCTTTGACCTCCCTGTTTATAAGAAGTTGATTCAGGAAAGTATCACCCATTGTAAACTCATCTAAATACCTACATAAAGAAACTGTGCCAAACACCATTTGCTTCGTACAATCATCACTTCAATAACCCACCTAAAAACTTACATGAACTCTTTCACGGCTTTAAGAAAATACTATCAAGTAACCTTTAGCTCAACTGACAAGGGTAATTTTTTAAAAGCAACACATTTAAAGAAGTTTCACATAACTAGAAGTATGCATCATGAAAATCAACTAAAAAAAAAGTAACAATTTTTAAAAGTTTTACAAAATAGGCTTTTTTTTTTCTAGCTACTTCATAGCATTGCCAAAGGTAATTGTGGCAGCTGCACCTAAGACGATCACAGATGTTAAGAAAACACACTGTAGTCTCCTTTTCTCACACTTAGCTACAACATATTTAGCTCGATAAAGAGGCTATAGGTAACACAGGCAAGAAAAACCATCCCTTTGCATTTTAGCACCTTTCCGGGGAAGCCCGCCCCAACGCCCCGAGGGAGAGCAGCACCCCAAGGCTCCTTTCGGGTACCACGCTGCCTGGCCCGCCGCGCCTTTCCCGCCCACAGACGCGCCGGCTTTCGGCCGCCTCCTCAGCAGCTCCGGCGGCAGCAGCGCAGCCGCAGCGCCGTCCCGCCCTCTCCCCATCCACAGGCAGCGCCTGGCTGTGCCGCCCGCCATGTACCTCACTCACGCGCAGCGTGTCCGGCTGCAGCGGCCTCAGGCGCTCCCACTTGCCGGGGCTGGCCATGTCCGCCCAGCCCCTCCTCCTCCCTACCCCGGCCGACGCCGAGACGAGGCGCTAGAGGAGGGAGGCCGCACAGACGCCCTCACGCCGAGGCTCCGAGCCGCCGCCGGGCGCGGGGCGCCGCGGGGCCGCTCCCGCCCTCGCCGCTGCCCGTCATGGCCGCCGCTCCCGCGCGCGCCTGAGGCGGCCGCCGGGGCGGGAACGGGCGGGACCCGCGCACGCGCCCTCCCCTCCGCCGCCGGGGCGCTCTCCCTGTGTTACCCATCGGCCCCCGCGGCGCTTTCCCGCCCTGCCCGGCTTCTCCCGGCTTCTCCCGGCTTCTCCCGGCTTCTCCCGGCTTCTCCCGGTTTCTCCCGCTCCCGGGACAGCCCCGCCTCACCGAGCGCCCGCAGGAATGCGCCAAATCACCTCCTTTCGTCCGCTCCCAACAGCCGTCTCGACCGGCAGAGGATGCGGTCTGCTCGCCCCCGTCCTCGCCTCTGTGACAACGGGAGCGCGCTCAGCACTGCCGCGGCCAGCGTGGGTTAAGGAGAGGAATCACAGAATATTCTGACTTGCAAGGGACCCATATAGATCGTCGAGTCCAGCTCGTGGCTCTGCACAGGACACCTCAAGAATCACACCATGTGTCCGACAATATTGTCCAAATGCTTCCTGGGCTCTGTCAGGCTCTTGCTCTGGCCACTTCCCTGAGGAGCCTGTTCCAGTGTTCAGCCACCCTCTGGGTGAAGAACCATTTTCTAATACTCAACCTAAACTTCTCTGACACAACTTCAGGCCATTCCCTCAGGTCCTGTCCCTGTCCCCACAGAGCAGCTATCAGTGTCTGTCCCTCTCTTCCCCTCCCAAGGAAGTTGTACCTGCAGTGAGGTCTCCCCTCGGTCTCCTTCAGGCTGAACAGACCAAGTGTCCTCAGCCACTCCTCACACGGCTTCCCCACAAGAAGAGGGTCCTCAGTGGTTACTGGGAGGAACAGATTTCTCTTTCCTCCAGGTAACAACAGCATGAACAAGGAGAGAGCATTCTGTCTGAGCATTGCCATGCAAGTAGGTGTGAGAGTAATTAGTATTGATTCCCTGCCAAATTAGCTGCTTCTGTCATTGTTTGCTAGTATGAGGTAGCCAAAGCTGTGTGTGTCACTCACAGGGGAGACACAGATAGAATGCTCATGCCAGGAATAAGTTAATTACAAGAGGTTTGTGAGTGAAAGACAAGGTATATTCCTCTAGAGCCAGACAGGAACCATCAAATGTGGCATGTCCAAAGTAATCTGTCCATTTACTTTGCAGCAACATCCTTTCCCAAGTCCCAGCTCCACTGCTCCTGCCCTTTCCTCCATTCTTCTGATAACATTTTACAAGCACTGATGCCTTGCTCATTTGCCAACCTCAGCAGTAGTCTCAAAATTTCCCAATTGTGTAGATAACGTCTGTCCGACAAAAACATTTCTTTAAAACACACCTTCTTGTTGGCCCATCTATTGCTTGATTGCTCTTTGTGGTAATTAACTCTCTTTTCTACAGAAGGTAAGTCTGTCATGGAGTTATTTTGCTTAAAGAATTATGAACTATTTTGCTTCTCCCACCCACACTTCAGGTGAAATTTCTAGTCACTTTCCTGATTTCATCAGACCTGTAAAACTGCCAGTCTGGTATGAGGAACTCAAAGCCATGGAGAACTTTGCTCATATTCTAATATGTCAGACCAAACATGCCAACTAACACTCTATTATATTGAAAAAATACTAAATTTTCATTTACTGCATGTTTCATAGCCCTTCCAGTCAGACATTTCTTTAGAGTAGCTTTTGGTATCATCAGTGATGTACCAAATGCCTTGACAGAGGATGGAGTTTTCTTCATAGCAACAAATTTTCAGTCAAGTACTTGTGTGGTAATATTTCACCTTGTAGAGAAGTCTAGAACGAAGGTGAATTGTTCTCGTGCTCTAATGAATCAAAAAGAATAAAGGAGGCAAAAATATATTGCAGCTCCTCAAAGGCAGGATTTCTGTGTTTCAGCACATTTGGAGTTGTGCATTTAAGGACGTCATGCAAATGCTGGTTGTCAGTATTGCAAGGTGAGGTTACACTGCTGCCAGGTGCCGGTTTTCCTATCATGGAAGGGACACATGATTACACCAAAATGTAAAAATGCTCATTTTTGTGTGTGCAACCTAACCTAATTGCTAACTTCTCTGTGGTGACGTATGAAGTTCCATGAGGAATGTATGTTTTTCACTCTTTTTTGTATTCTGGAAGATGTATTTTATCATTGCAATTACAGATTGTATAAATCTACTGTGATAAAGCAGGCTTTTTCCACCTGGAACCACAAAATGGTTTGGAGTAGATGTCTAGGCCATGTTAGTTTGAGGTGATGTGAGGAATGTGCCAAGCAGTATTAAAGTCGTTGAATAGGAATTGGTGGCTGTTGGCTGGCCGTATATTAGGAAGAGGCTAACAACTCATAATTTGAGGATTAGGATACATGAATTCCTGTATTAACCCATGTGGAAAACATTGCATCAACATTACATATAACTATGCTGTTGTTCTAGCCAGTCATAAGATCAAATCCTGTTCTTCCTGTCCTTCTCTGTCCTTGCCTGCTCGTCCTTGCCTTGTATCTCATGGGCTGAAGAAGAGCCCCCCACAGACTGAGATTCAGGAAGAGTTTTCTATATTCATATGAAAATTAGAAAGTCTTACTATTCTTTTAAATAAAAATTAGATTTTGAAGTAACTCGCGACTATCAGGAGTTTTTGCTGTGGCGTTCTGTAAAGAGTTTTATTCTAGTATGTTATTATTTACATTTTACAAAGCTGATAACTAAACGTCACACATTCTTTACTAGAATCACCCTGTAAATAAAAATTAAAATTGTACTAAATTTACTGTTATCTGAACACATACTAAAATGACTGTGCATTCTTTTAAGACTTCTAGACATGAATTGTACAAAACATGATTCTTAAAATAAAATAAAGATTTGCTTACTTATCTGAAATCAGTTTCTTTTTCATTACATTGATTCTTAATGTGCCACCAGGGGGCAATAATTCGTTTTCTAAACCTGATCTTTTACTCTCAAAACCTGCCAGAATTCTGGATTTATTAACATTTTGAAATGACTGTATGTGAGTCAAAACATAAGTTTCTTTAAAATGCTTCTTAAATTACTTGTGTAATTTAATATTTTACCCTGCACTACTTAGCTATGTAGATTTTACTTGTATTTTGAGCAGCTAAATTTGACTGCTTTGTAAAAGTTTTACTGGTGAACTTCACAGAGGACCGAAGTGGTGAAAGATTTGGATTTCGTGCAGTATGGGATTTTTTGGGGTGGTTTTTATATTGCCCTTGTAATATTCGAAATTTGTTTTCATCATATTATTTTCCCATTCTTTTCTTTTTGCTGCACTAATACACTATTAATATTTATTAGCCTATATATGTGATCCTGAAATTGGAAATATATCCATTAGAAGGTACCTTTATATTCTTATATGGTTTTTTCCTTTATGTTCATAGTAGTTGCAACATTGTGCAGTTAAAGCCAAGGCCACCTTCAGTAAAACTACAATTCTGTATCAAATGCAATCTTTCCTTTTGTGACAATAAACTTACAACTGGATTTTACATTAGGTGCACACGTAGTGCTGAAAAGATGAGCCAGAGGAAATATGTTCCTGCAAAAATACAAAATCATGAAAGACAGCCATAGCTTTAAATATCTATTTGAATTACCTGGGACTATAGAATTATCTATATTTTTGTATATTAGTATGTCAGTCTGTAGAAGTTTCCAGGCCTCCCTAAGGTCCTCACCACTGCATAACCATTAAGCATAAAGATATAAATTTTTATGTTGTAAAATGTAATGACTTAAATCTGTTTCCGGCAATAGTAGAATCTTTTTTGATGTGCTCAGCTTAATCTGCCTGAAAAAAAAATTCTTCCTGTATACATGGCAAGTAGTCATCCTTTAAGAAGGCAGGTCTCCTATTTCTTCACTTTGTTGTGTGAGTATGGGGAAGATTGAGTCAGTTAATCAGATCAGAGCAGCAGAGTTCTAAACAGTGTTTGTTTCTGTCATGTCTTGAATAACACTTAAAGGTCATCGATGTGGTATCACATTGGAGACATAGGGTTTAGTTCATGATATAAACTGAAGCTCCTGCTTCTTCTACCTGTAATTCAGAAAAGAAATTATATCGATGGAAAAAGGACACTTAAGGTGACATTAGGGTTGTGTAAATAGCACATACGTGCTGTATATAAACAGAGGTGTCTTACTGGAAAGGTTCAGTGAATATTGTGTTCTTAGGAAGGTTTGGAAATTTGGCAGTAAGCCATCTGCTATTGTCTGACAGAGCTTGAGAGTTCCTAGGCAAAGGGCTTTACAGAGCCTGCTGGAAGTTTTCATCCATGCTAAGGAGTTTATCAACAGAAGAAGATTCCTGTTGCAAAAGGTCATTATTACATTTTTTGTTTGTATCTTTTCTGTGGCAGAGGAGGTGCAAAATTCCCTGATGTATTTAATTTTGGCAACTTTTAATGTATGGAGAATTTGAAGTATGTCCTCATAAGGTGGTTGTCTTTATATCCTGAGTTTAAAAGTATCCTTGAAGTTAGTGGTTTGTTTTTTTCTTTTGTTATTTTAAATAAATTTATGTTATGGTTTAATTTTATCTTGTAATGTGAAAAAGTGTTATACCGTACCGAAATTAAAGTAGCTTGCTTTTACATGTGCACTGAGATTTTTGGTTTAGCACATTCACTGATGATGGGATTGTCAAGATGCATAAAAGTCATTCAAGCCTAACATGGAAGTGCATTGGCCACTTCCATCTTTTCCTCCAGTTTCTCACTCTCTAATAGCAGTGAGAACTTGAAATGGATGAGGAATGTTGGGGCATCTGTTTGTGCTGAGGGAAGGTGTAGGAAAAAGAGATTCTGGGAAAGTGCCAGAAAAGAAGTGTCAGCCACTGGGAGGCAAGC